ACACTCCCACCTCCCTACCTGTCTCCTGCCCTTCCTACACCCCTCACCTCCCTGCCTGTCTCCTGCCCTTCCCACACTCCCACCTCCCTGCCTGTCTCCTGCCCTTCCTACACCCCTCACCTCCCTGCCTGTCTGCTGCCCTTCCCACACCCCCGCCTCACTGCCTGTCTCCTGCCCTTCCCACACCCCAACTCCCTACTTGTCTCCTCCAGATAGCAGTGGTAGTCTGTGGACACGGATGGTAGTCTCGTTGTATCAGGCTTGCACTGTTTGTGAAACATTTTCATACTTGTGTAGTTTGTCTTTTTTTTGTTGTTGTTTAGTCTTGCATGTACTGCAGGTTTTGCTTACCTATTAGAGTTCCCAAAACCTCCTTCCTAATAACTCTGTGTATGGCGTGGGCATAGCTAAGAGGCTATATTCCAGGCTTAAGGTTTTCCTTGTTCTGCTGTGAGCTAGAATTTGTAGAGATTCTAACCAGACCCAAGGATTCAAGCAGCCTTGCATATAGCTATTCTCACCTAGAGTCACTATTGCAGAATAGAGATGGCTGTATCTTGTCCTTGGGGTCACCCTGAATGAGTTGGTGAAGCTGAATGAACATCATAAAGCTTTTAGTGAAGCTTTTAGTTTAGTTGAGCTACCCTGGGCCCCCACCTTCTAGTCTTCTTGGTTCTTTTTTACAGTACCGTCTGCCAGCATGACCCGACTCGCCCGATCACGAACCCACTCAACGTCAAGTAGCCTGAGCTCTGGAGAAAGTCCCTACAGCCGGTCTCTCATCAGCAATCAGTCAGATGGAACTCAAGGAGTCCCTGAGTCCTCTGAGGACCCGGACAAACAAGAGACCATGGAGGTGTCCTGCTAAACAGATGCCCATACCCAGACCATACAAGTCCATCTGTTCACTCCATAATACAACATTTCATCCGGCAAACTGGCATCTACTATCTTTAACTCATGCATGGCCACTGAATCTCTCTCTCCCCCTTTCTCTCTATTGTAGCCTGAATTTATCATTCTCTCTGCCCACTTGACCCTTTTTTTGTATGTACCAAGAACCACTCCCATGCCATAACTCTTAACATTCCATCATCTTTAGCAGACCAAATCATATCTTTTCTTGCCAGCTTTTCCCTGTGCTCTCCCAACTATGTATCTGATAAGATTCTTTAATCCCAACTCTGTGTGTGCGCGAGCACGTATGTCTGTGTTTGTATGCATAGCTCTGTGATTTTAGACATGCTTTCTTGTAGAGCTTCTGCAAAGGAAAAAAAAGGGACTTTTTCTTTTCTGCATTTTCAATGGAAATGAAAATGTGGTTTTAGAGGAAATGTACAGAACAGATTTCTTTGTTTGATGGGCTGTTGCATTCTCTTTTTGACTCCAAGTTGGTCAATGAGATTTGCAAGATAACTTTAGGCGAAAGGAACTTGGAGGAATGTGGAAGGTCATAATTACTCTTTGCGGCTCTGATTGTCTATGACAAATATGAGGGAGTCTGTTACAGAGAGTAGTGGGCAGGGTGACCGGTCACATCCTTCTGTCCAAATGAATTCACAAATACTATTTATTCTGTAAATAAAAGAAAGGCTTATTCTGCTAGAAGCCCATGAACAATAAGAGCCTGATGTAACATGGGATTTTTCCCATGGAGTGAGTGTGGCTTAATTCCTGGCCTCCCTTAGCAAACAAAGGTGAAAACAACATGCTGAGCCCTTCAGAAGCCAAGCATCTGTCACTGCGTGTTGGATGCCACTAGCTACAGAGCGTCCACAAGAAGTGCCTCCCACCTCAGTGAAAAAGAACTGGTTTCTGGGACCTTAAGTCCCAGGAAAAGAGCGTAGTGTGGCCTCAATATTTTCTAGGTGGTGAGAAAATGGGTAGGGGGGTGAGAACAGACATTAACACATGATCTTGCTTAATAAATACAACATTGATTTCAGCAGACATAATAAAATGAAATTAAATTTTATTTAACTCATTTCTGAGAAAGAGCTTTTGTCTCTTGAACTTCCTTTTGTAGTAGGAGATGGGACCAATACATAAGGGCAGCCCTGTCCACATGAAGCTCTCTGCTGCTCTGGCGGGGTCACAGCCAGCCAGTGAGTTTCCCAAGAAGGTTAAGAGAGCTGCAGAGAGACCACCTGCCACATAGCCAGGACCCAGCTCCTAAGACATCAGGTGTAAGCTCAGGGTTACACAGGTCTGAATTTTGGGAAGGGGCTTTTTTAGACACTTAATTTGCTTTCTGCTGAGATAGGGAATGTGTCACTCTGCCAGAGTGTAACTTTTTAACAGATTATTAAATAAAGCTGTATATGTCTCATTGTTACCTGATTGCTGGTGTTTTTTCCTCTCACCTACATATTGGAGCTCAAGGAGAGATTGAGTTACTGTGTAACTCAAAAAAAAGCTGGACATTTTCACAGCACAGTTTCTTACCACAACCAATGATCCTTGAGAACTCGAAAGCCAAACAACATGTCGTTTTAGTTACACGAGTGTCTCATGAAAAGTAAGGAGATGGCTGAGTAGATAGTCAGGCATACAAGATGACTGTGCCAAGGTTTCCCACATACCAAGTATCCATTTCACAGTTAGGGAATGACTAAGGAAAGTTATATAATTGGGTCAAGATCACTGATAGTGGAGTTCTGTTGGGAAGAGGCCAGAATGGCCATTCCCTACTTCCTGCCTCATCTGTGTACCTTGAGACCAGTCTTGAAAGTGCCTTCAAATAAGCACAGTATCAGAGTGGGGTGGAGGCAGGAGCAGTCGGCAGAGCCCAAGTTCAATTTCCTCCTCACCAGGGGCCACATCCTTGTGGAGCGGCCATCCATTCTAACATCTGAGGAGTTCTGACGGCATCGTCCTTAGCATGTTGCACTGCTAGCCAAAAGGCAATCTGTTTCCAACAGTTCAAATCCACTAGTAGCTCCAAAAGAGAAAGATGAGCTGTCCCCTCTCCATTACAGCCTCAGGAACCCAGTGGAGAATTGCAGTGGAGGCAGCATTGACTCGAAGACCGTTTTGACTTTTCTTAAGGTCCAAGTCCTTGCATAGCTGCCATCCTTTCTAACATCTGATTAAAACCTTGTTGCAGAGGGTGTGCTTAGTCTTACCACCTCCTGCTCTGCTTACCAAGTGCCTTTGGAGTTAAATATCAAACACACCTTCCCCAGAAGAAAGTGAGAGATAAGCAGAGATATTGAGACCCTAAGCTAAAGGGTGTTCTAACTGACAAGCCACCTTAAAAGTCTTGAGAAGTCTGAGCCAGAGTCAGGAGTGTTTCAGCAAAATGAACCCATTTCATGTTAAAGAGGAACTGCCTTCAACCCCCTAATGGGAGGCAGCAAATAGGTATGATTCTTAGAACTATTAATGAGCTGGAAAGGGAAGGTAGACCAGCAATCTCTAAGGCAAGTCTATCAGAAAGCAATTCTTTCTCCTAGGCCAAGTCAGTAATGACTAAAGGACAGAGTAGTACTGTTCCGTTGAGTCCCCAAGGCTGGAATCCACAGAAGCCCATTTCCATTTTTTTTTCTTTGTGGAACAATTGGTGAATTTGAAACGTCAACCCTAACTTCACTTAGCAGCCACTTAAGCACTTATACCACAAGAGCTGCTCAGATTAGTGATTTTTTTTTCAGACGTGGGCTTGCATAGGGTTGCCTGGAGGGCTTTTAAAACATTGCTGGACCTTAGACTCTGCCTTTTTGATGCTGTGGATTTGGAGTGGGTCCTGAGAATATATGTTAAGTTCTCAGGTAAAGCTGAGGCTGCTGATTTGGGGCCCTCACTGAGAAACACTGTCCAAATCTTGCTACTTAAAGTATGGTCCTCAGCCATCCCCAGAGAGCTTGAAATAACTCCCACCTCAAACCTATTCAATCAGAAGCTGCATTTTAACCAGTTAACCAAGTGATTCCTCTAAAGTCTTAACATGGTTGAAAAGCATCACTCAAAGGCATTGCCTCCCATACCTACCAATCAAAGGATGCTCTTGGGAGCGTTGAAAGTTTAGCTTCTGAAGTTCCTCTGGAGATTTACATTTAGAAGAAGATGTGGGAGGATTCCACTAATCTTTAGTATTAACAAACCTTGTTCAAGCTCTGCATCCCCTTCTAACTTGGTTCTGTGTTCCAAGCCACAAAACCAGGGAAGAGTTTGCTCCAGGATCATGACAAGGCAGCAGCTTCTCCCCTAGAAACAGGAACTCGGGGAAGGTGGCTCCTCGAAGGCCTGTGATGCCGTCAGAGGAAATGGGTGGTTGTGAGAACCACAGAGTCTGCAGATGTGAGCTGGGAGCTCCAAGGAGCCTGCACTCCTAACTCCAGCAGCACTGAACTCTAAAAGAGCCTCTCCCCCTGACCCAGCTCACTTGAGGGGGCTGCCTGGTCACATCCTCCCTCAGAAGTCCAGGGCTCGCGTCCTATCCCTGGTGCACAACCTGCTGACCACAGTCAGGTGCAGAGCAACCTGTGCCAAGACCCGGAGCCTATCCCTAAAGATCCTCCCTGCTGAGAGTCCTGGGACTTCCAAGACAAGCAACATTGGCCAGCTTCAAGACAGGCACTCCCTAAAGCCCTGGACTGTCCAGTCAAAGCAAGCATCTTAACCGAGCCCCATCCCCAAGCCTCTGATGACAGGAAGCCAGTAAGTATGCTTCATTTTGTTTTTCCATGGCCTTGGGTTGGGTGAAGAAGAATGCTACACACACACAGACACACACACACACACACACTCCTTGGTCAGAAGTTGACTGGAATTCAAGAGGGGCTTTATATTGAGAAAAAGAGTTCTCTGTGGAGGCTGTAGGGAGGATGCTTCCTGCGGACCCCAGAGGAGCCAGCACTACCTCTTCCCATCTTTAACTGACTTCTGGGGGACTGCATTATCCCTCCAGCTTGTCTTCATGCCCTGCTGTGGCCTCATTTGGTCACCAGCTGCTTAGGGATCTTTGGGCCACTCTGGCCACGCTTTTAAAAATCCCTAAATGCTAGCTGCCTCCTCTGTCATCTCTAGACTTTAATGGTCACTCTGAAGTCTACAGTTCCTCTCAAAAGGGTGAGACCGCTCAGTGAAAAGAGAGGGGTAGGTCTCCCTTTTATTCAGGCCAAATTAATCTCTCAACCCTCACCACTGCACATGGACTTCAGAAATAGTCACTGCTGAGAGCCAGAGGGAATGGAGTCTCCACTCTGCACTCACAGGCTGTGTGGTGTGTGAGTGCTGTGCCCCTATCTTCTTTATCATTTTATGTGAAATGAGATGGAAACCTGGTCAGACCCCTCCTACAGTTTTCTAAGGATCTAGTGAGAGTATGAGAAATATCGCTGTGGCCAGCATGCTAATCTCCATTGCCTTTTACTAACTTCCAAGCACTAGCCTAGTTGGTTCCAACTTGGTGGTTCCCATGTGACAGAGTAACCTGTCACACAGGGCTCCCTAAGCCAGGACTTCTGTCAAGCCCCTGAAGGGTTTGAACTTCAGACCTTTGTGTTGGCATTCCTATACTTTGCACTGGCTTGGGGACCCCTAAAATGACCATAATAAGTTACTGGAATGTATGTAAATTTTCTCTTAATAAATTGACCAGTGTGCCCTCCTCCTAGGCCTGTCTTCCCCCAAGACCTTCATCTTGCCCCCAGGGGTTTCCATGGCCTTGCCTAGACCAGGTAGAGAGAGCTGTGCATGGAGGCGGTGGGGGGGGGTGCCTTCCACCCTGAGAGTACAGCTCCCCACCTCCGTGGGCCCCAGGCCCATCCCCCAGCTCCACCTGCAGTGGAGATTCTTGCAGTTGATGATTGTGGTGACTGTCTTGCTGACGGAAAGGAAAAGAAACAAACCTTTACCGAGAACCTACCCTACACCGGGCGGCAATTCTCCCACAACCCTCTGGAACTGATACTGCGAACCTTAGTTCACAGATGAGACTCAGGAAGGTTCCAGGTTTTGCCCGAGGTCACCCAGGGAGAGCTGGATTGCTGCTCAAGGCAGATCTCTCCCTGAGCTTTTCTACACTCTTACCTGTGAAGTTAAGCATGTAGCCTATTCCTCAGACCTAATGGGAAAGCAGCAAGAATATTGAAAACCTAGGCTGAAGAAGGAAGGAAAGGGATGCAGGAGGCAGCAGATGACTTGTCTGCTAGTGTCCAGGATCCCAAAGCTGAGCACCAAGTACCTAGCAGGAGCCTTTTCTGTGTGATGAACCCATCTGTGTTCAAGAACATCCACCCTGATGACTGCTGAACTCACCAGGAACAGGGTGGACAGAAGCACATGTTGACATGAGATTGAAGGGTAGAGGGGATAATGTCCTACACAGATAAAGGTATCTGACACCCCCTGCATGTAGTGCTCATATGTGACTGGTCCACTGGGCCATGGAAATCCCTCGACCATGCTGACAGACACCTGACCTCACAGAAGCACAATACAGGGTTTGAAGATAAAGAAGGTGGTCGCTAGACCATCCTGTGGGCTCCCAGGGCAAGCATTCTGACACCCTTTCAGTAAATCCCCCTGCCCTTGGCACCAGGCCCAGCACAGCTCAGAGGCTCGGTGAATACCAGCTCAGCAGAAGCTTGTCTCCACAAAGTGGAATAAAATAATCATAAAAGAAATGTAAAATTCACCCCCAGTCCCCCCCCCTGTTTAATGTACTGTTGTTGTTAGGTGCATCGAGTTGACTGTACTTCATAGTCACCCTGTGTCCAACAGATCTGAACCTGCCTTATCCTGTGCCGTCCTCACGAGCTGCAGTTGACTTGATCCCATTGTTACACTCACCATGTCAATTCATCTTGCTGACCCTTCACCTTCCCAAGCATGATGGCCTTCTCTAAGAACTGACCACTCAGCACTATCCCAGAAATCTAGGAATTTAGATTATTCTAAAGATACCCAGTCAAAGGGTCTTTTTAATTGACTAATGAATCACTCATAAAGTCAATGTATATTGAATGCAGAGGAAACCAGCAGACAAAGAGGTCCTTTGTCCCCATTGAGCTACAGAAGAATGACAGATTAAACAAGCTAACATGCTAATAAATGAATAATTAAAATTTTCACATAAGAGAAGGGAAAATGGAAGGGAGGACCCCCAGAAAAGTCTGGTGACATTCAGGACAATAGGCCCCAGTCAGGCTTTCACGTGCATTATCTGTCCTGCCCACATGGTGTGCATCATTATTATTCCCATATTTCAGATAGGGAAATGGGGGCACGGAAAGAGGAGATGCACCCCAAAGCTTGCACATCATCACTGTGTCATATAGCATACTCCCACCCTACTAAATTTACTTCGCTCCATAACACCAGTAATAGTGTTTTCTGTTCCTGAGCCCTCTTGCATCCCCTCACCCGCCCCTCACCTTAGTCATGTTCCTGGTGTGAGTGACCTCACTGCCCTGCTGCTATCCCCTGCAACTCGATGACAGAATTGAGCCCTATATCAGAATTGTTTCATAGTGGGACAGAGGAACTCAAATATGTAATCCACCAGGTTTAAGAGACTGAAGAAAGCTTCCTAAGGGAGAGTGGGATCCAGACAAGCCCAGAGGGAGGAAAGAGCATTTCATAGTGTAGTGAGAGGAGGCACCCTACAAGCAAAAGCTCAGGAACAGGAAGAATAGAGCATGGTGGCAGTGTAGAAAAGATGAGATGCAGAGAAAGCAGGGTCTGGTTCACAGAAAGTCTTCAAAACCTGACTGTGGAGCTAGAGTCTCGTTCCAGTGGGCTGCAGTTCACAGGACTGAGCTGAGGAGCCAGCGCTCTGTCTCACTGAAACCTTGTCTGCATTTCAGGTTTCTCTCAAGAATGCACTTCTAAGTGTTTTGTTGATGAGTCATGGGAAGTCTGCCCAGCAGAAGAAGAAGCCTGTCTAGTCCAAGTTCAAGCCCCCTTGCCCAAGGTCAAGGACATGTGCCTGTGCAAGCAGGTAAGTCATGGGACATGAGGCAACAAGCCATTTGCTAAGCACCACAAGGACCCTGGTTCTCTAGGCCTTCCTGGCCATCTCCAACTCTTCATCAGATATGTGTGTCCATCACTGAGTCCCAGTGAGCCAGCCAGCCAGACTCTCTGCTCTTGTGGAGCTGATATTCCAACATTAAAAACATGAAATGACCAGACGTACTATGTGAGAGGGTGCAGACGCTACCTAGAACATCAAATCAGGAAGGTATGGTTTGAATCTGGAGTCTCCAAAAGCTTCCCTCCTTCCAAAATCGTTGATTCAGAGACTCCTCTGGCAACTCTAAGACACTAATGTCTGTAACTTTCAAAAAATAAAATACCTTGTTACAGTACCCAGTAGTCATGTAGGGCTACCTAAATATAATGAAAACAAAATAAGCAGTTCTTCAATCTCAATAGATGGCTAATAACCACGCATACCTTGGACATGGGACAGCGCAGAATCACAAGACATGTCCATTCTTGCTGCAGGTCCTTTTGGATATTGATGCTCAAAATGCCTCCTCTTACCCTAAGAAGTCCTGTGAAATACTTAAAGAAAAATTGTTGTTGTTCTGTACCACAGAGTCAGAAGTAACCTTGAACTACGTGCCTTCAGGATTGCAATGCAGCATTAGAGCGATCTTAATTGGAGAAAGATTAACGTATGCTGTGTATATACTTAAGGAGCACTAGTGTCTTAGTGGTAAGACTTGAGCTGCCAGTCCAGAGGTACACAGTTTAAACCCACCAACTGCCGCACAAAAGAAAGATGGGCAATCAACTCCTATGCGAATTAACTGCCTCTGAAAACCTGCTGGAGGGTCAGCTATGAGTCGATTTCTACCCAATGGTAGAACAACAATCTGCATATGCTGACCCTCACTGGCATATGTTGAACCTCTACCTGAGAACTTCTTAGAGTCCTGACTAAAACCTTTTTGTTTTTAGCGCAAACTCAAAACACATGCCATCAAGTCAGAATCAATGCTGATTCTCCATTGGGTTCTTGGAGGCTGTACATCACATGGGAGGAAATTGCCATCTTTCTACTAAAGAGCCTCTGGTGGATTTGAACCACCTTTGGGTTAGACAGGCCCCACTTTTGGGTTAGTAGTTCAGTCTCTTCCAGACTGCCACCAGAGCTCCCTAGGACAGCTGAACAATCATGTTCTGGAAGGTCTAATACTTTATGTCAAATTTTTCTTTCTTCACGTAGCACACAAATCCATTTTCAGATCACTCCTGATCTGGGATTGGGATGGTAAGATCACCCTAAAGCAAGCGCTGTTTTCAGGTGGGGGTGTGTAGACAGTTAAACAGGAGTCTTATGAACAAAGATGCCTGACACACACCCCCACAATGGGAGGGGGTCATTCCCACTCTCCCACCTGATACCAGCAGGCCCGATGCCACGGGTGTCAATACTCTAGACTCTGGTGAAGGAAGAGCATCTCCTTTTAACTGCTCAATCTGTACAGAGAGCCTGGCCTTGAGGAGGCTCCACAGGAAGAAATGACGTGGCACTCCACCTCAGTTTCCTGAGTTTAGCTATGGCCAGTGGCCCCAAGGTTGCTCTGCGTCAGGCCAGGATGGTGGAGGAGGTGACCACCTCCTGCTTGCTAATGAGCAGGTGAACTGGGGGTACTCCGTGCATGGGGCCCCAAGGACTGCTCCTCATTCTTCTCCACTACGGTCTCTTTGGGTAAGATGAGTCTGATTTACCCGGTCCCTGGCCAGCCCCTCTCTGGGAGTCATCCATCCACACTTGAACCCCATCTTAAATCTACTGATGCTTACTATGTGTCAGATGTTATGCCAGGACCTGGGGACCCAGCAGTGGACATAACAGGCACAGTCCTGTTGTCCAGAGACAACCACATCTCAGAGACAGATGTTGAACCACTTAGTAGTTATTGCTTTGTTAAAAGTTGGTGGCAGTGTGTTTTAAAAGACTAACTAAAAGAGAGAGGGAGGGTGTGGGTGTGGATGTGTGTGTGAAGGCGCCTCATCAAAGGCATTTTCCTGGAGGAAAGATGTTTCTGTCAAGAAGTAATGATCAAAGGTGAATCAGGATCAGGTATGTATGCAGTGGGGGAGACAATCAGGGAATAGGGACAGATAGCAGCACCTCTCCAATGTGAACTAGGCCAGCCTTTCTTGGAGGGCACAAAGCTACCTTGTTCTTTCTACCCATACATGTAGGAAGACAACCGCCACATACTTGTTTGTGTTGTTGACTCAAGTATCATATGTTTGCTTGGGTCAGCCAGGCCGAGTGCAGCAGAGACAACACAGTGGAGGAGGAGAGACCACTGGGCTCCGAGTAGCGTCACGCTGAGGTCACTGTGGGGTCTGTGTACGTGTCTGGGAGGATGTGATGAAGCCTGTCCATTTCCACAGTCACAGTCTACTCTTGCCATCACAACACAAGGCAGGTTCTCCCTTGCCTTGCAGTGTCCACCTCCAGGTCCCTCCACAATCCATGAGCCTTGTCCATCCCTCTGTTCCCCATGCCACCTCCAGCAGCCTCCACTCTATCAAGAGGCCATCCTGTGACCTTGACTCCTTCAGAGAGGAGCACCTAAGAGATGATAAACAGCTTTCTTGATAGTCTTAATTGCTTTTTGTAGCTTCTTATATTAATATACTTTCAAGTTTCACTTTTCTCTTTGCTACAAGAAAAAATAGGGTAATGAGCCCACCTCATCCAAGAGGATTAGGGTTTAGGGATTTCTTTTGGGGTTTTTTGTTTTTTGTTTTTTGGGTTTTTTCTTTTTTAAAAATTTTATTTATCCCCCCCCCTTGTTGTGTACCATAAAATCAGATCTGACTGGCTCAGAAGGAGATATTTCCTCTTTCTCCAGTGGAACATCTGGTGGGTTTGAACCATGCACCTTTGGGATTAGGGCTTAGGTCTAATAGGTTTTTCAGGATACGAATCCCCAAGCAGGCACAGAAGAGCCTGATCTCGGGAGCAGGCTGACCCCAGAGAGGAGAAGGAATGAGCCTCCTGTGCTGAGGGGGTGAGCCACTGGCTGCCTGCCGTCCAGACCCCGTATCAGGCCACATGACCACTATGTCCTTGGGATCACTCCTCACGTGATGGGGGGCTTGAGAAGTGATTCCTGGGCCACTCTGGCTTTGCCAGTTTTCATCTCTACACCTCAGCCTCCTGGGGAGAAGGCAGAGCTGTTGTCCCCAGGCAGATCCACAAGGGTGGGAGAGGGTAAGGGAAAGGGAGGGCTTGGCTTTCAGGAGAGCCAGGTGAGCAGACAGAAGGAACAGACTGGCCGGACAGGCCTGCGGATTTTGGGCCCTTCCTGAGATGGCCTGCTGTCCCGTGCCAGTTCCGCCCAAACCTGGGCCAGTGAGCAGCCACCCACGGTGCCCCACAGGAGTGGAAGGCAGGGTGGTGTGGCATAAGAGCTATCCCTTCACTTCCTGACCTCGTGACTGTTGGTGAATCACATTTGCTGTACAATGGTGACAGGACAACCCTAGACCTGACCTCAAGGGGCAGCTGTGTGGACGAAGGAAGCTGATGCATAAAGCATCAGGGACTGGCACACAGCAGGTGCCCCGTAAGTGATGGCAGCCTGGATGGCCAGGACACTGGGCTGACACACACACCTACTGGCCACCTGCTCCAAGCCAAACCTGGCATGGTGGGCTTGGGAGTGACACCTTTCCTCAGTGGGCACTCGGACCTACACCTGTCAATCTGGACCAGGGCCGGGGGACAGTGTGATGCTGCCAGAGCAAGCCTCTCCACCCTCATGCCCTACACGCATTGTCTCCAGAGCCATGCTGTGTGACTTCAGGGCCTATCAGCAGCCTGGAGAGCCTGGGGAGTGTGATCTCCACAAGGGATCCCACAGCCTGGAATGAGGGGGTCAGCAAAATTCCACAGTGTTAGGGGAAGGTGATCAGACCTCCCACTCCTGCAGCATTCAGTACTGAAAAACTTTTCTCGTGCCCGCCCAAAGACATCCACATGACCCCCAACTCTGGTCCCTGCTTCAAGGCTCTGAGTTTCTCCTTTGCCAGTCTTCTCAGCCCTCCAACCAGTTCTCATCCCTTCATGACCTTCCAGAAGGTGAACTGACAGGTTTGCACCTAAACCTGCTTGAAACTGCAGGCTTCCAGGTGTCTTGGGGACATGTACTGTGATCACAATATTCTATAAAGGGCTGTGCAGAAAACAGCACTGGAACCAGAGCCTTGTTTTTCCTGAGGCTCCCCGGGAACCATCTCTGTACCCCAAGCTCCGCTGGGCCCCACTGGAAAAGCCTCAGAGTGGAGAGTTGCTCTGGCCAGAACAGACATGCCAGCACTTTCCACACTTGTGGGAGGATTAGTGAGGGGCACCCACAACCAGGCCAGACTCTGCTAGATGGCACATCAAAAGGAAATCTGTTCAGATGGTGGCTATGTCTGTCCCTTCTTCTAGAGAGGAGCAAGGCCACAGCTGTGGCCCTGGGCAGTTTCCCGGTGGGGGAGCAAGTCGAGTTGTCACTGCGGCTGGGAGACCCATTGACCGTCATCTCTGAGTAAGTATTTTGGGGAGCACCGGCTGGGGTGTTGCTGGAGCAGGATGCCCTCAGCCCTGCTCTGAAGATGAGCTGGTGGAATTCAGGGCTAGGGCTGGGATCCGAGGCTCTTCCCTCCTGGGAAGCAATCTGCAGCCTGGCCTTTATTGCTAGATTTACATGGGGTCATAATGGTGGGGTTTCAGCTCAATACACCTGCAGGGAGAAGTGGTGGGTGGAGGAGAGCCATGCCAGGCGGTGCCAGCACTGGCTGGCTGGTCCCAGGAAGCCTGAGAAGCTTGGGTGATGCAGTTCTCCGAGCCCCAGCTTTCCTTCTCTGTCTAGGGATGGAGACTGGTGGACAGTGCTGTCAGAAGTCTCAGGCAGAGAGTACAGCATCCCCAGCACCCACGTGGCCAAAGTCTCCCATGGGTGAGTTCTCATCTCAGGGAAACCTGCCTTCCCCTCCCACAGTATCGTCCTGTCTGCCCAGCCCTGTGCTGAGGCGAGAGGGAACCTCGAGGAGGAGGCCTGGCAAGGCCTCATAGAGGAAGTGGTACCACGTGGGCAGAGAGTGGCCAGGACTCTGGTCGTGGAGAACGGGAAAAGGGACATACAGCGCAGAGGGTGGGGGGTGGTGGTGGAAGAGCTCCAAAAACATCGCAAGACATGGAGGGGTAATTCTTGCAAAGATGAGGGCTGTGTGGGTAGAATGGGGAACCTTGCACAGCCTCCCAGGAATTTGGGAATAAGAATCCAGGCTGGCCCCATAAAGTTGTCCTCTCAGGACTCTGGAGCTAGTCCCAGGCTAGCAGAGTGAAGGGGCCCACACAGACCCCCAAACAGCCCTTCACAATATGGATAGAGGCCCAGAGAGATCATGGCCCTCCTCATCACACAAAGTGGGCAGGGGGTCCCAGAGCCCCTTCTATGGGGCCAGCAGTCTTGGTCCACCTCCCTCACTCCCTTGCTCCTGTCCCAAAACTCGCAGGTGGCTGTACGAGGGCCTGAGCCGGGAGAAGGCGGAGGAGCTGCTGCTGCTTCCAGGGAACGCCGGAGGGGCCTTCCTCATCCGGGAGAGCCAGAGCCGGAGAGGTGGGTGAGCATAGCTCTTCTCCTACCTTTCTGGAAGGGGGGAGAGGAGCCTACAGACCCTTCCCAGAAAATGGGCCACGTCTGACTTGTGGGTCTTTCTTTCAGCCAATGGAAAGTCCCTGAGCCGAGCCTTATATGGAACCATCTAAAGCCCAGTCTGGTGGGAGGTGGGGACAGGTGATAACAGGCAACCTGAGTGCTGCTGAAGGCAGAGGAGCAATTAAAGAAAGCTGTGAGGAAGCTAGACTGAGGCACAAGAATGTCTGGTGTTCCCCACAAGTCCTAAACATACAGGACAGAAGCCTAGTAGAAGCAGACAAGGCCAGAGCATAAACAGCCTTCAGTGGCAGGCTAAGAAACTTGGGTTTTCTCCTGAATAACATCGTGTGTGTGTGTGTGTGTGTGTGTGTGCGCGCGCGCGCACAGAGAGACTGAAGAACAGTGATTTTCAAATTGGGTCCCCAGGACAACTTGATTTACAATAAAAGGGATGGTCAGTTTGGGAGACACTGAAAATCTTATTCCTCTCTCAAGGAGAGATGTTTTAAACCATTAACTGCATATTAAGACCAGACTTAGATATAGACATTGCCCCAACATTTTTGAACATGAGAACTTTTTCTCATTCGGTGCATTGTTGTTGTTGTTATGTGCCATCGAGTCGCTTGCGACTCATAGCAACCCTATGCACAAGAGCTCTATACACTCTTCTATCCTGTGCCAATCTAGCCATCTCAAATGCACTTATTCCCACCTCTCCAGTCACAGAATCAATCCATCTCGTCAAAGGTCTTCTAATAGTCAATTCATATTCCTTTATTCAGCACATAAACCTCAGATGGCCACTATGTGGGGTTGGGAGAGGCCTAGGGCATCATTGGTGTGGCCCTTGGTCCCTAGAAGCTAGTGTTACATCATGTAGACAGCTTGAAAATTTCCATTGATGTCAAGGGTTTTTCCCTTGAATGCCAGGAGATAACTGTGACATGCCTTGGAGGTCAGGACAGAAGGCCCAGTGTGAAGGATTGGGGTTTACATGTTGCTATTAGGAGCAGGTGGGTCACTTGGATTTGTCAAAGTGGGAGTGAATGTCCCACAGCTTGTACTCCAGAGCAGGGATCCAGGCTGAGCACCATTGTGGGAGCTGGCACTTGTGATCGAATGTCGTCACAAAGTCTCCTTTCCCAGACCAGGTTTCTCCTTCCAGGTTGACAGGAGCTAAATGACTTAGGGGTAGGGAGAGGAATTGAGGTGTTGACTGTATCTCTGCTTTGGGCTAGTAGCAGAGCGAGCCAGGAAATGATTTCATGGATCTTCCTCTCTGCACTGTGATCAGGACAAGAGGCCCAGCTAGAAGCAGGGCCATGTCACATCACACTTCTCATCTGTGAAATGGAAATGCAGCCCCCACAGAGTTGTTCTGAGGCCTGAGAGAAATACTTCCTGAGGACACGAGGCCAGGATTCAAAGCCGGCCACCGTGTGCCTCACTCCAGACACTCTAAAAAGACTTTCTGTGGTAGCATGTTGGGCTGCTAACCAAAAAAGGTGGTGGTTCAAACCCACCAGCTGGTCCGAGGGACAGAAATGAACAGTCTCTTCTCATGAAGACTTACAGCCTCAGAAAACACCAGATGGAGGCCGCTCTGAGTCTGATCAACTTGAGGGCAGCAGGGTTTAGGTTTTGCTGTGACAGTAATGATAGAGTTGTGTTGCAGACCAAGGGTCCCAAAGAATGAAATAATTTTATAATTATTAATAATGAGACAGACTACCAGGAATGATATAGAACAGAGAGTGTGAAAAACAGGGGGTCAACAGTTCCCATGACTGAAGGCCTCAAGCCATGCTTCTCTGAGTATTTATTTAGAATCATAAGGAAGGTAAAAAAAGTAAAATCACAAGGAAGTACAAAACAAAGGATAATGGTGAAGTCTTTTACAGATAAGGCCAAGTTCCTCTTTATGCTAATCTCAGGAAGGAGGGATTCAGTTGATACAAACTAAGAACAATGTTGACTCCTAGGGAACGCCCTAGTGCCACAAGGTGACCTTCAGTTTGTATTAAGCTTCCCTCATTTCCTGATACAGCAGCATTGGGTCTACTATTATTAAATTTGATATTCGGCTTCCCTCAAAGTTGCAAGCACAGTGTGAGATGAGGGAGGAAATATTTGGGACAGAGGATATGTCACCTAGTGCCAAACCTAACTGAACCTTCTGTGATGGGCTTGACAGGGCCTTTGCTTCCTTTTCTACTGAGCTCTCCCTCCTGGGCTCCTCCAGCCATTCTTTGCCTTTCCTCCTCTTTCCACCTCTCCTGGTCGACCCCTCCTGTTGCTTTTTTCCAGGTAGCAGCAGCAGCAGCACTCCCACCCTCACATACACCCAGGCAGGCTGGGGTGGGGGGCTAGTCCCTGTACAGCAGCGACAAACAGGAAACCACAGGAGGGTGCTGCCTGAGGCAGGGGTGCTGAAGGCCGGGCTGGGCGCTCGAGGCCCCGTGAGCTTGCAAAGCCACAGGAAGTGTTGCGTGTTCAGCTGCTCTCTCTGCTCCGCTTCCAACGCTTCTCAGGCCTCATTGACCCCTTAGAGCATGGTGACTGTGTCTTCCTACCGCTTCCTAAGAAAGCGCTCCTTACAGGCAGCGAACAGAGATGACGGAGAAAACTTGAAGGACTCATCCAGCTCTTCCCTGGAATAGGGTTACATTTGACCCTGTGTTTCCCCACAGTGAAAACCAAAAGAGAACAAATTAGAATGCAGCTGTCATTCGTTATCAAAAAAGGCAGAAATTTGTCAGTTCTCCAGGAAAAGCAGAGGCTTCCCTGATGCTAACAATTTTTTTTCTTTTTCTGTGTTAAAATAAAACTTCTTCTGCAAAAATGAGCAGTGAGTGAAATCTGATCCGCAGGAATTATATGCCAACCTGTGTATTCGATATTATAGTCTAATGAGGGAAGAATGGGGCAGGGAGGAAAAGAGCTACATTGAAGGCAGATCTGTGGAGGTGGAAACTGTTTGAAAAGGGCATTAATATGGAATTTTTCTTGTATGTGGTGGGAACGACTGTCTAACATGTGTTGTTTTTCTGGCTTGTATACTATCAGTATGACAGTGTTAGACCCTGGCAGGAAATCAAACTCTTATTTAAATATGTGGAGTTGACACTTGATACTTGAGGTACGTAGGTTCCTGGTACTATCACTTGCTCTCCTGGGGCTTCTGGGACAGTATTTGTCATAATTCATTTGTGGATCCAGAAGGCATTTGACCTGAGCTGGTGTCAAAAAACATCTGGGTCCTACCCCAGAGCGGATGAGTCAGTGGGTCTGAGAACTTGCATTTCTCACTAGTCTCAGGTGATGCTGATGAAGCTTTTTTTGGGGGGGGGAGACTCACCACCAATCTAGTCGTTAGCTGTACATCAGAATCACCTGCGGGAGCTTAAAAAAACCCCACAAAACTACAGTCTGGTTTAACTGATCAGAGGTGCGACCTGGACACTGGAATCCAGAAAGCTTCCCAGGTGATCCTGATGTGCAGCCAGAGAGGAGATCAGCTGACTGGATGGCTGAGGACCAGGGAGGACCTAGTGAAGGAACAGGAAACACGGAGGCCCTCAATCAGGTCGGGGCACATATTGCTTCGGCTATTTATAACTCTGTGGGCCCTGGGTCATAGTGTAAAATTTCACACTGGTTTGTGGTTAAAAAAAATTTTTGAACAGTGCTGCACTAGAAGCCCAAGTGACGTCATAGAACAGTGGCTGCTCTCAGAACCAAGTGCGCAGGAACCCACAGCAAAACATGTTAAAATCCAGACTCTCAGGCTCCAGCCTGCCTCTGCCAGGCCACGCTGCTCAGAAATCATCTCAGTCCTTCAAACTGGCTGTTTTGTTTTGGGTTCTAAATTGGCTTTTATCACTTAGAATGTACTTTATCTTGAATGTTCCATGTGTACTTAAAAGAAAAATGTGTATTGTTGGGTCTACTGCCCTGTATCAATTCGATCAAATTGGCTGATGCTATTATAGAAACTGCTTTTATCCCTAGCAATTTTGTCTCATCAATTACTGAGAGTGTTGAAATCTCCAGTTATTATAATTGTTGTGTACCATCGAGTCAGAACCAACCCATAGCTGACCCTCTGGCAGGTTTTCAGGGACAGTTTATTTGCATGCGAGGAGATTGCCCATCTTTCTCCTGCAGAGCAGCTGGTGGATTTGAACCATGCACGCTTTCGGGATTTCAGTGCAGTTTCTTACCACTAGGTCACCAGAGCTCCCTAGGAATTACGATTATGGTTATTTATCTTGTCAATTCTGCATCATGTATTTTGAATTTCTATAATTGGGTTCATACAAGTAGCTTGTTTTTTCCCTATGATGACTATTTTGTCATTAGGAAATGTTCCTCTTTATTTCTTATATTTTTGGGCTTGAATTCTACATCTAATATTAGCTTTCCTGTGGTATTGTGGTTAAGCGCTTGACTGCCAACCAAAAGATCAGCAGTTCAAACCTACCATCCCCTCAGGGAGAAAGATTACAGGGTTACTATGAGTAGGGCCAGACTGGAGAGCAACACGTTTGGGGTTTGGTCTACAAATAATATTTGCATGATGTGTCATTATTTTTAACCTGTGTTTTGATATTTAAAGCACATTTATTATAGACAGCATATAGTTAATCCTATCTGCCTTTTGTTGATGTTCCGCTGAAGAAAGGTTAAGTAACAGGGTGACTACCATTTGCTGCACATTTTCTGTCATGATTTTCTTATCTATCAGATGAGGATAAAAGGACCTACTTCATAGGGAGGGTCTGAGAATTCTGTGATAGTTCATATAAAACTTATGCAATAATGGAAGTGACAGTGGCTACATGTAACTAAGGTAACACTCTATTCTCATTTGACCTTGATCAATTGTTAACTGTAAAAAAGCAAATAAATGTTCTCTTTTTCCCCCCGGTCATATGCTTTGTTCTCCTAAGTGGTTCTATTATTTAATTTTTAAAAATTAAATTTCATTTGAAAAATGGGAAAAAAATCATGTTATCAGGTTTTTGTTTGTTGGTGTCCTCAGCAAGGAGTTGGGCTTCTAAGATAAGGTGGTACCTCTCAAGAGATTCAAATCACCCAGTGGCTTTTTTGGAGAAGGATGGACAGTCTCCTCCCATGCATTTCAAAGGAGGATCAGCTACAAGTTCATTCTGACTTGAAGGCAGTAAATTTCAGGAGTTTGTATTTGTACAAGTTCCAGTAGTCTATAGCACGTTGCACTGCTAAGCAAAATGATGTACATCTCCAGCAGTGCAAGTCTAGCAACTGCTTCATAGGACGCTCTTCCCATTAAGATTTATAGCATCAGAAATTTTATGGAAGGTCACCGAGTTGGAATTGACTGCATGGCGGTGGATTTTAAAAAGTGTGTGTATGTGTACACAGTTTAATTACTAATGTAAAAAACCCAAACACTGAATATCCATGTTTTTGCATAACAGTTTAAGAAATAATCTTTTTGAAACCCTTTTCATGTTCCACTGTGTTAATCATTCTGTTGCTTTTCCTCATTGCTTTGCCACTCATATATCCTTATCTACTATACAACGGAGTCTTGGCTGCCTTGAACTTTAAATAATGCTGAATGTTTCTGTGACTTGATACTTCTGCTCCTAAGATTTTTGTATGCTTATATGCGTAGTGGTTATTTTTACTGCTTTATGGTATTACATTCTATAATCCAGTATTATTCTTTTCAGGGCTAATGGGCCATTTACTGATTTTAGCATTTAAAATAATAACTTCATGCATATTCTTGTTCACGTATTACTTTGTTCAGCTTGACTCATTTACACTCACCACTGTGGAATCAGAGCCCCTCACAGTGACCTTTCATTGCTTTTCTCATGCTATAAATTCAATGAGGGGAAGATTGACCATCTTTCTCCCATAGAGCTGCTCATGGATTTGAACTTCCAGAGGGGCATCGCCTTAGAGTTAACAGAGTAGGCCACCAGTGCTCCCTTCAGTTTGATTAGTTAATGTCAGACTAGTAATTCCGAAGTGCATCATAATATTAAGAGAGTTATTTCTCTAGGTCCTAACCAAGAGCCACTGACACATTTTCACATTCTAACAGCTCAGTCATCCAAGTCTTTTTTAACACTACTACAATGTTCGCTTCCACTTTGCCAGACTCTGGTGAAGGCTGTGTGTGTGAGCTCCTCTCATCCCCACAGAAGCCCAGTCTACTATGAATGTGTTGTTAATTATGCTTCAGGAGAGAAGGGCTCTGTCCTTTCTCTGGCCATGTCCCACGGCCATGTCTCATCTCTGTTCTCCCAGCGTGAATGGGCCTGGGTCCCAGCAGAGCCTCAGTGCCAAACGGAACCCTTTCCTCCTCAGGCTGTTACTCTCTGTCAGTCCGACTCAGCCGCCCCACTTCTTGGGATCGGATCAGACACTACCGGATCCAGCGCCTTGACAACGGCTGGCTGTACATCTCTCCACGCCTCACCTTCCCCTCACTCCAGGCCCTTGTGGACCATTACTGTGGTATGACTTTCCCCTGCCTTCATGGGATGGGAAGTGTGGGAGGGCAGGCATGTTATCTGCTGGAAAATATCTGGACTCAGAGAAGAGGGTGCCAGTCTGTACCTGGAAGCGTGGGCGCCCTGCCTTCTATCCAGGCCCACAGCAAAACTACAAACTCCAGCATATTCCAGACAGACCCGCTGTGTGAGCTCTTCTCTATCAACTTCAGCGTTTCCAGATGTCTGTTCTGATTCAGAAACCCCACGACAGCAGGCACTGTTCTCCCCACGGGAACTAGCTCCAGGGCTGCAGTTGTTGGTTTTGCTTCTGATTCTTCTGGTGCCTGTCCTTCAACAGAACTGGAGGCTGCAGTCACCAGGGCACAGTGTCAGGAGAGCAAAGACCACTCCTGGGAGACCCGACTGGCAGAATTCTAGACTGTCATTTCACACAGAAGTAGATACTGACGTTACTAGAGATTTGAGCATTCCACAGCTTGCTTCTTCCTTAAGCACTTTCCTATTCAGAAACTAGGGCTCAAAGAGGCTCCACTCATCCAAAGCCAATGACCTAGGCCTCCCAAGATCTAACCCAGGAAGGCTTTGACTACATCTTGGCTCCTTTAGACTAAGAGCTTGGAACTCATGCCTTATACATTGACTTTTGGGACCGTGGCCCATGTGTAAGGCACTCAGGTTGAGGGCAGGCTTGGGAAGAACGTAGGGCTGGCATCAGCCATGCTGAGGGCCTGGCTCTCTCCCTCAGAGCTGGCGGATGACATCTGCTGCCTCCTTAAGGAGCCCTGTGCCCTGCGGAGGACTGGCCCACTTCTTGGCAAGGCCATCCCCCCACCTGTGACCGTACAAAGGCCACCGCTCAATTGGAAAGAGTTGGACAGGTAAGGAGGGAACCCTGGAAAGAGTGGGTCCTTGAGGGATTCCTGGGAGTCAGTGACCACTGGCTGAACATGAGGAACCCAGATAGGACTCACCAATTCTGTAGGGGAGGGACAAACAGGCAGCCTCTCAGGAGGCCAGGAGGGGAGTGGGGCAGGTTGGAGCAAGATGGAGTAGGACAAGTCCAGAGTCCTGGATGAAAGGTGAAGTCTGTGTATTATGTGTGGTGAGCAGAAGATATTTGACTCAGCTTTCTGTTATTCTTTGCAGCTCCCTCCTGTTTTCTGAGGCATCTGCCACAGGGGAGGCATCCATCCTCAGCGAGGGGCTCCGGGAGGCACTTAGTTCCTATATCAGCCTAACGGAGGACATCTCCTTGGATGGTGCTAAAGTCGAAAACAGCAGTCGAAAGGGAAATCTAGGCTACAGCACCTAACACCCCAACTCTGTTCATCCTGCCTTTGCACCTAGAGGCAAGGGTGAGCACTGGGGCCGGGGGAGGCAGAGCTAGGGGAAAGAGCAGCATTCAGGGTTTCTGAACCCTCTCTCAGAAGTCAGTTACCTCCTCCAAGTGGTACGATCCCACCTCGAACCTCTACTCTCCACGTTCAGACAACTGCATCCAGGCCAGAGCTCCAAAAAAGGGAGCACTTCTCCCCTGGGGGCCAGATCCATTCAGTTCCTGCATCATTCTGCCTTTGGCCACGAGCATGGCTGGGAGGCTTTGGCCAGATTCAGTTAATAAAAGGCAACATGAAGTACTACGTGCATGCTAACACATGTCGAGAGAAGGGGCCTGACAGGGGCACATGAGACAATGCCTCACAAACCCCTTTCCCCTTCTCTGAAAATGATGCTTTAAGCCTAGTTCACTGCAATGAGGCCAGTCACCTCTCATGTGCTGGGCAGGGGCTGAGAACCAGGTGTGGCACTTGTGTGCTGAGATCCTGCCAAGTGTCCTAGGGCATCTGAAGATGGCAACACTCTCCACAAAGCCACAACCACAGCCAAACCGTCTCAAGATTTAGCTGGAGCTGGTAAGGGCCCAGGGAGATGTAGGAAAAAGGGGCAAGGCATCACTTCTAGTACTCAGTAAGTTCCAGAGGGTGGTGAGGTGGGGGAAAGCATTACTAGGTATGATCAACAGGCTTTCCATTAAAGATCGGATTTTATTCAAGTATCTGAAAACATTCTACAATGGAAACTGTTGTTAGATACTGTCTGTTACGTACCATGGGCCATATAATGCCATCCTGTTTTCAGAAGACTTGAACTGCCACTGATAGTTTTAAAAACTGTACACCTGATGGAGAACTGAGGAAGACAATTTAATGTTTCGTCCGGATCCAGAGATGCATCAAAATAAACGACCAGCTCCAATCAGCAAATTGGTGTTTTAGCAATGGGTATCCAAGAAGAAAAGGGTGGCGATGGACAATTCAGAAATGCTTCCTCAAAAGGCAGATGAATGATTCTTTAAAAAGGTGCCAGTCATTCCCTGTGCAGAAAACACTGCTGCCCAAACACATGGAATCTCGGTCCAGAAAACACGGGTCTTCCAGGCTCCCTGTGCTGGCATGCCCTAACAATCATGCTTCTGATGGAACTAAGAGGGTCCTTCGGACTGGACAAGGAGCAGGTGGGGCTGTACACATCAGTCATAGTGAATGGCCGTGTAAAAGATGATCCAGATGACCTAGAGGGGAGACAAGGAAGGTTCCGAGGTCATCTGGATGAGTGGTGGCCACCTTTGGCCCCATTACACACACACAGTCATATATAAAATTTGTAAACTTTGATTCCAAGTACATTTAAAAGTAAATAAAAGGTCATACAAGAACACAGGCACACAGGCTTCCCAGGGGCTATCCAACACATAATCTTAGAGGCCTCAATTATTTCACTGACATCAAACTGAGGCCCAAGACATCACCCATTTAACAACATGCACCCCAGACACGGATGTTAGGGGTACAGGCAAGGCAGACTACTGCTAACACTTCAAACCACCATCAGAAAGTCATCTTCCTATCAATAAAGCACTGGTTCTCAAACCTGACTGGCTGTCCAATGGCATCTTCTGGGGCCTTTAAGAAATATATACGGATGTCCAATCCTTCCAACCAACTGATTTTATTGTGTCTAAAATTTTTTAAATAACTTTACTGAAGCATTCACCTATCATAAGTCTTCCCTTTTGAAGTGTGTAATTTAAGAGTATTTAGAGTACTGTACAAACAGCATCACTAATTCCAAAATATCTTCATCACCCTGTACTAAATCACTCTCCATTTCTCAGTGACTGGCAACCACAAATCTGGTTTCTGTCTCTCTTGATTTGCCTCTTCTGGACATTTCATCTAAACGAAAGCATACCACATATATTTATACGTCTCATTTATTATTCTTACAACACCTAAGCAATCATCCATTTTTTAGCAGCGAACAGTAGTTTAAATTTTTAAATGACTGAAGAGCATACTAGGGTATGGTGGTGGTGGTTGTGTGCCACTGAGTCGGAACTGACTCATCTCTGACTCTCTAGGAAGTTTTCAGAGGCAGTAAACACTGCTGGAAGAGACTCTCATCCTTCTGTGGAGCAGCTGGGAGATTCAAACTGTGTGCCTTTGGGATTGCAGCGCAGCTTCTTACTACTAGGCCAGGGCTAGCTCTTTAGTGTATGGCTAGACCACACTATCTCATCTTACCTGATGGACAATTGGGTTGTTTCTACTTTAGGCTGTTATGATTAATATTGCTATACGGCTATCACTTCATGGGTATTTTTAATATGTACTCAGTGTTTAGAATCAGATACAAAAGCTAACGATGTAGCAAAGATTCACATTACAGTTGTAAAGCAACATGAGAGGCCATGCCTTAGGAGGCCACTGAAAAACGGCAGCCCAAGCCCTTGAGCCCCAGCCATTGAAGAACAGCAGCCATGGCTGTGGGCTCACGAGCACACCAACTCTCTGCAGGACATCAGGGCTGTGTGTGGCTTTGCACCCTACCAGCCATGGAATGGTTAGTCTTCCAGAACAAATGGCCCTCAAGTTCATCAAGAGAAGGGACACATGAGGAAATGAGCTGAACAATGTCCTGCCACCAAGGAGGAAATGTGTGTCCCATCCTTGTCTACTGTCCTCTCCACCACCTATATAATACCTTTTCAGAAAAGAAAAATGGTACCCTAATCACTAGGTCAACAAGACTGGTGGTTGACACTTCATGAAAAGACCAGTACCTGTTACTAAACAATCATTTACACATACCATGAACAAGGCAAAAGATGTCATAAACCCTTCCTTTGTGAGCTCCCACGTGCCACCATATTCTTCTTCATCTATCTGTAGGTAGTTGCTGAAGTAGAGGTACAAGACTCCCGCATTGATCAGGCAGAATCTGAAATGAGAAAAACAAGAACCAATCACAACTGTAAGCACAGGAGACTTGGACTCCCAGCCATACTGTCCCACAGTTAACAGTTTTGTCTGTGTATGAGGCAAGGAGAGTGACCAGGAGTGAAAGCAGTTTTTGGCTCAAAAGGACTTGGATTCACACCTGAGCTTTTACTTTGTTTTCTCACCTAAAAAACAGTGGGTCTGAATATTATTATGAGGCAAGTGAAACAACACATAGAAATGGAGGTGCCTATTTTCCCAGCAAAAGGGGAAAAAACCAAAAATCCCCATAAGATTTGGTACACAGGCCTGAGAACATCAGCCCCAAATACTAAGTAGGGTACACTTTCTCCTCAGGCATGAAATCTGACAAGAATCATCTTGTCATTAGTAGTTTTGGCTGGCTTTAAAAGTAAATAGGAAGGGAAAAAAAAAGTAAGTAGAGTGGCAGCAACAAGGACAACCCAGCCACCTACTTCCCCCAAGTGTAAGGCTTGGTACCATGGACGATAAAGGCTGACATCAGGTACTTGACTACCAGGCCTGCCACAACCAAAAAGGAAGTAAACTCACAGACATAAAGCTGGGACTCCAGGGCTAGGTCAGCAAGGGACTGGAATAGCTCAAAGTGAGTTTTAAGGATAGATGTGATGCTAACTTTATGTCAACCAGACTAGATTCTACAATTCATAAAGGACAAAGACTACTCTCCATAATGTGGGTGGGCCACATCCAATCAGCTGTCTGCCTTAAGAGCAAAAGCTAAGGTTTCTGAGGAAAAGGAACTGGGCCTCGAGATTGTAATGGATTTCTTGGGGGAGTTCCCAGCCTGCTCTCTGACCTGTAAATTTCAGACATAGATTCTCCAGATTCCAACCCACTGCCTGACTTGTTCATCCCTTAATCACATGAGTCAACACCTTAAACAAAATCACCTACTGTATGTGTCTGTGCACATGCGCGCACAAACACACATCACTGAGTCAATTCGGACTCATGACAACCCATTGCACAGACTGGCTACTCAACGTGACTTCTCTATCCATTGGCATTGACCTTCATCACAGGCTGAGTGGGAGCAGGTTAATAAGGTGTCCACAGTATTATTGGTCAGTTTTTCTATCCCATCAAGCTTAAACTGAACAGGTTTAAAGTTAAGAAATGGGAATCTCAAGACCAGCAGCAAGTCTCGAGCTCTAGCTGGCAGCCAGCGTGCACGCTCCAGGCTCAGCACTCGCGACCGCCATCAACGTCGCTTAGCTTCCTGTAGGATCGCTCTGCGCCACTCGCTCTCCTCCGATCCCTTCGCTCCCAGCCGCCATCATGGTGAAGCTCGCGAAGGCTGGAAAAAATCAAGGCGATCCCAAGAAGCTGCCTCCTCCCCCCAAGGAGATAGAGGAAGACAGTGAGGATGAAGACATGTCAGAGGATGAGGAGGAAAGCAGTGAAGAAGAGGTTGTCATCCCTCAGAAAAAAGGCAAGAAGAATGCCACAGTGCCCTCAAAGAAAGCAGTGGTGTCCTCAACAAAAAAGGTGGTGGTTGCTGCACCAGCGAAGAAAGCAGCTGTCACTCCTGGCAAGAAGGTGGCAGTTACACCTGCCAAAGAACACCTGGCAAGAAGGGTGCCACGCCAGGCAAAGCAGTGGTGGCCACCCCCGGTAAAAAGGGTGCTGTGCCCACCAAGGGGGCAAAGAATGGCAAGAATGCCAAGAAGGATGAGAGTGAGGAGGAAGATGAAGACAGCGAGGAAGAAGAGGAGGAGGAAGAGGATGAGGAGGAGGAAGAGGATGAGGAAGAAGATGAATTTGAGCCAGAAATGATTAAAACAAAAGCAGCTGCCCCTGACTCAGAGGATGAGGACGATGAAGATGATGACGAAGACGAGGCTATGGAGACGGCACCCGCCAAAGGAAAGAAAGCTGCCAAAGTGCCTCTCGCAAAAACCAAGATGGTGACTGAGGATGAAGATGATGACGATGAGGAGGAGGATGACGAGGAAGATGAGGAGGAGGAGGAAGAACCTGTCAAAGA